AAAAATCTTACGACGGGAACGTGCGAGCGCTCACCGATGCGGCTGCAAATGGTCACCAGGAGCTCGCCGACGGTCTTAGAGTCATCCACCATCACGGTCTTCACCGAGCCATCCAGCATCCGGATTTTCTGGGGTCTCTGCTTCTTTTTGTATTCCAAAATGTCCTAGAGCACAAGCCACGCAAATAGTTGATAATGGCCTTCGGGGTGGGGTGGGGGGCACTTTTAATGGGAAAACTGATAGCCAACTGGACACTCTGGAATAAAGACATTTCCCTGCTTGTCCACCAGGGGCGCCACAGGAGAAGTGCACGCCTCAGGGCTTTCCACGGCTGCCTTTCAAGTGCCTTGGGGGGTCTAGAACCAGCCACCAACCTTTTCACCAGCAGCCAACCGATTTCACCATGTTCACCATCCAGGGCCTACACTGCTAAACTATTGCTTTCATAAATGTTTGTCTAAAATCTGAAAGTGAAACTCTAGCCAGAGAAGTCATTTTTGTGCCGCTTACAAACAATGGGTGGAAACGACCTTTCATAAGCTGTCCCTGGCGTAGGTCCTCCTGAAAGAAAGGGAATGGGCAGAGGAAGCGCTTATGTGCCTTTCTGAGAGGGCAGTGCATTTCTCCAGTTTTCGCTTACACTACTCTAAACAACTCCCGTGAATATATATAAACACACGTGAGGGAGAGCATCTGTCACCCCTACTTCCTCACAGTCACGGGTCAGGGGCTCCACAACCGTGCTGATTCTACAACAATCGCAAGACCAAGCAAAGGCAGTAAGTTTGGGAGTCATTTTTAAGTGGGAATTTCTTTACGGCAGTTCTTAAAAATAGAACTAGAGAGAGAGAAATTAATTGGCATCACATACTTTCTCACTTTATGAGATACTGAGATATCTGCTAAATCCAGTCTCTCTGATGTTCCTAAGCTAAATAGAAGGCTTAGCACATTTTTTTAAACTCATTACATTTCCTTGACAGAGCCTTTTAGGGTTGTTACTATGACTGATATCAAATGTGATATCAAATGTGACACTTATAGAAAATTAAAACTATTTATTGAATATTTAATCTTCAACAAACTTGAGGATTACACTTTGGTTTCTCCTCAATTTTATCCTTACTTTTCATTACCTCCTACATACAGGAAGATGCTGTCTCTTACCTTCTAACTACCCAATCTGGCCATGACACGCAACATTCACTGAAAATCCCCACCCGATGCGTCTGCAATTGCTCCGTGTTGCTTCAATCAACTGCTAGGAAGGGGCTGGGTGAGCAACATACCCCGTTTCGCAGCATGTAGTAATCCAGTGTCCGACCCGCTTCCAGCCAGATGCCCTTCCGGGGGTCTTCATCCGACAGGAAGAGCCCATAGTCAGAAGCTGGGAGACAAAGAGAAAGACAAAGAGACTAGCAAAC